CCCCAAAACCCCAAAACCCCATAGATGAGAAAGAGACTTATTATATAGAATGGTATAATATATTTATCATTATTTAGGACAAATATTAAATATACCAATCAATGAGGCTTAATTCAAAAAGAACAATAATGCAATAAGTCATGAGATAGACTGCATCGCCAAATTTTGCTACTCAAGACAATAAAAAATAGCTGACCATTTTGAAAAAGGAAGATCAACTAATCTATCAGTAGTTAGATTACAATATATTTCACATTCCAGGTGAAAATCCCAGTAATTTTCTGATCTTATTAAGGGGCTTTTTAGATGCTGCAACCTTACTTGGAACAAATTGTTTCATTTTGGGGTCAGGAGTTCAAAGAACAATGATAGATTGCGGAGATATGTATCCTTTGAATATGAAGCTCATGGATAATCTGCTTACACTAATGAAGAATGAAAATTTCATTATCAATGTAAGTGAAATTACCCATTATTAGGAGTGTAAACACATTCCTCTTACACTCTAATTTTTAAAGAGTTTAATTATTTTTCTAGAAATTATTTATTACTCATGCTATCCCAAATCATTTTGGAGGAGCTTGGAGTGTAATTGAAGCTCATTAAAAGCTCAATGTTTAACCGCCAACAGTCTTTAAGCATCTAGATGGCAATGATTACGAGATAGAAGTATTTCATAATACCCCTCAGCTAAGAGAACATGTGAAGCATATAAATGATGGTGATTAGTTCAAGATTGACGAGATTAGTGATTCATTGATTAGAGTTATTAGAACTCCTGGTCATAGAAAAGATCACTGTAGCTTTGGTTTCACATCTAATGTTCACAAATATGGATTATAAAATATCCTATTCCCAGGAGATATGATACTTGGTACTCCATCTGTAAGAATTTAGAAATACTTTCAATGTAAATGCTAACTTAATTGCTTTAGGTTTCAATGGATCATCTTGATTAATACATAAATGACTTAAAGAGAACTAGGGCTATGGCTTTTGAGAAACTTTATCTAGTGCACACCAATGGAATGGATCATGCAGATATTGTTGTAGATGCGAATAAGAAATTCGCTGATTACTTAGATTATCGATACAACAGACTTAATAATATGATTGAGTTTATTGAGAGCCAATAAGTAAGATAAATTATTATAAAACTGATGTTCTCAGACTAGGTATTTAATGCCTGTGAGCAAATTTTAATTGTTTGAATATATATACAGCCACGAGGATCTTAAAGATACAGTTAGAATGCGACTAGTGCTCACATGCTTTAATTCCCATATTGAGAAACTGAGGCAAGATGGTATAATAGAGGAAGAATTTAGTGAAGTTCACGTTAAGAATGACAAGCTAGGATTTAAATATAGTTTGTAATGAATTGATTTCCTTGCTTGTGTTATTATTAATCTAATTAATTATGTCGTGTTATTGAATAGAATTGGTTTTATCAAAATCTAACGATATTATAATCCTGCTCGGGGTTTTGGGGTTTTGGGG